TGCTGCTGACTCTCCCACGTCGTTCAGCCATTAACTTTTGCCTGAGGGGTTTATGTTGTATCACACTACCTGTCCCATATCACCACCACCTCGCTCCCACAGCCAAGTCACTGAGCACGCCAAGGCCCTTGCCTGGAATGTGGTTCTGCCATTGGGCCTTTGCTGGTTCCAGTGCAGTATTATACTGGGACGGCTCTCACCAAGGTCTCCAGAGGAGATCTTTTCTGGATGTGTTTCAGGTTTTGGATTCCTGTACCTTTCAACACTTCTATAAATCAATGATTCCTCTCCCAGAACTTTAGACTTTTACTGGCTTTTGTGGTTTTCTTTTACTTCCTAAAATCACAGTTCAGTGTCTCATTGTGCAGTCATCCTCCTCTGCTTCCTTTCAATAGACATTTCTCAACACTTTATCTCTACTTCTTAACTTCCTTTTGTTATTCAAGGAGGGAGGGGAAGCTGGACCTCATAACAGGCACAATTCACTGAAGTCCATGCCCATGATTCACATCTTTCCATTCATCCAGTCTAACATTTCACTAGCTCCCATTTCACACTTTGAGTAATCAGGAAGTAGCAGCTTTGATCTTACTGCCATCTTCCTACTTTTCAGCTTACTGTACACCCTAGGAATATTCAGGTTCCTAACCACATCAGCACCCTTCCTTGTCCCCCCATGCATATACAAGTACTTCCTCTTGAACCAAATTAAACTTTAGATCTTTTAGTTACTGAGATTACAATGCTCACGTTTGTTCTACATTTCCCATCTTTACCATTTATCTTTGACCACTACCAATGACAAGTTTGTCTTCCACATGGCCTCTTCTTAGCCACAGGAAAAAATTCTCCAGTCCTTTTGATCAACATTGTAGCAACTCAGACAGATCTATTCCTCCTTCCTCTTCCTACCTTTGTCTAATAAAGCTATGCATCACGCTTCATCAGATTCCTGTCTTTCCTCACTGCACCCCCCATCCATATTCCCAGGTCAGCACCATATACAGCCCTGGGAAAAAAACAACAAACAAAAAAAAACAAACAAACAAAACCCCTCTGTTGTTTGCAAGGTTGGATACCACAAATATTCACTATTGTGGGGAAAAAAGAAAAAAAAAAGAAAACATGTCTCCTCTTTTTGCAATATATAGTGCTTAAAATTAAGCTATTTATTGCCTGTCGAGGAGAATTAAGCCACAGTTTCACTATGGCTTACAGTAAAAGCAATTCAGTGATATCCTATGATCTTACCAACGTACATTTAACTATGAATAAATCCATTTCAAGCATTTGTACAAAATGAAGTCAATGGTTTTACCACTGTAATGACTGAGCCGCCGTGACTCAACAGAACAGGAGCTTCTGCTTCTGATAAAGTACCATCTGACAAATACCCTTCAAATAGAAAGCGCTTTCTGACAAACAGAGTGTTTCCTTTGTGCGTCAAACACCTTATTTATAAAGCTGAAATGGGGACATAAGTTGAAAAGAGAGCCCAAGAGAACACCCACTCGGTAACTTTAAACATATGATTTCAAAAGCCGAAAGCTCAGTTAGTTTTGCCCACCTGTTTCATGCTGCAGGACAGAATATATCAGCTTCCCTGACTTAACACCCTCACAGGATAGACCATGTAGAGGAAGTCGTCATTCAGGCTATATCCTCCCTAAAATACACTCCTTCAGGATCTACTGAGGTCTTTGACCTTTACCTTAACTCAGAAATCACCACTCCCCCACTTACCTTCCTAGTCTCTCATCTATAAAGGTCAAAGCATTTGCCACCTCTCTTCTCTTCAAGTACATCTTATTCAATGAGCCAAACTCTTGTTTACTCCTAAGTACTTCTTCACTCTTGCCATCAAATAGCCACTTGTATTTATTATCTACCTAATTAGAAATCAAGCCTGTAAATTATTGCCAGGATACATGACAATATAAAGTTTGATCACTAAAAACTTGTCAGTAAAAATAACTTGTATGCTGCTTCTTAATTTTTTAAGTAGCACTAATCGGGTTATTCTCAGCTTCTTTACCCAATCAAACTGCTACAGCATCTGTTACATCCAGTCTCATTCCTAGTCACTGCCCTCCATTTATGCATTAGTAGCAAATTTAGCTGAAGTTAGCTCTTAATTCATGCATTTAGATGTCATCAGTAAAGCTGCACAGTGGCTCTCACGCAAATCATGGCTTGCAGTAACAAAGCTAAATAACAGCTACATATTTTAGCTCATCCTCATGCCTCTGCTCTAGAAGCAGCGAAACTGAAGTTTCATGCTTTTGGGTAATACAGCTAAATCCAGGCACAGACACAGAATATAATGTACTTGATATTTTATCCCCAAGATATTAATTGTAGCCAGTGTGCAAGGTTTCAGCTTACAACCTAAATCAATGGAGGAACTGAGACTCATTTTGCATGTACAACAGCAGCAGCACAGCCAGCTGTCCCAGTTGTCATCGGTCATAATGCAGTATTTCAGAATATAAGCATTCAAAGTTTCCTTTTTTTAGCTAATATATTAAACAATTCATTTAGACTATTGATTTTTCCCTGTTGTTGAACTTTTAAAATCAGCAGATTCAGAAGAATTGTCTTGAAGAAGCATAAGCCATGTTTAATGTGGCCACTGAGGCCAACCTCGTAAATATGTGGATGAGTGTTTAACTAAGACTACTTTTCACCCTCCCAAAGCAGCACACTGTATTCTACAAACAGGAGAAGCAAAATAAGTACTTCACCGAGGCAACTACTATATAAGTAATCAGTGGGTTACTGTAAGGTTCTCTGCTCAACTTTGCTGAATTGCTCATGTTTTCTAGAAGATTCCAGGAAGATTATCTGTAGTTGTATTTGTTAATGAGTTCTTAATACAAACATTTTATCCATGGTCCTTTCATAGCCAAAGCTGCAGCTAAATAGCAAAAATGACCAACCACTAAGCAAATGAAACCCTGAAGACGACACTACCTTAGTTTATTTATATCTATTTATATCAGTGCTCTATGAAATTTAGGGCAGTCAAAATACCAAAGCTGAATGTAGAAATTAAATACTAACAATAATTACCAAGCTGCTAACAATAATTTAAACTAACAATAACTGTGAAGCTGCTCTTGACAAGGGTAAGCTAGAAGCTGAAAAGAGTCTGTGTTGCCATTACGCCTTGCACACACGGCTGAACACTGCTTTGCAGAGAGAAGGCAAGCCTCTAGCACAGAGTAAGAGGCAAACTTCCGCACATGGAAACAAATCCGAGAGAGCCAGTGCTGGTAAAGGTCTTAACCCAAACCCTCACTTTTAACACAAGTTTAAAAACACAAAAATAATTAGAATACTCTGTTACAGATTGTAAATTTGTCTCACACATTATAAAACAGCTTATCCAATTTTAAGTGCCTCAATGGTCAAATATCCTTTATTTCATTAGTCAGTATAAATTAAACACCGTAGTCAGCTGTGCAATTCCTGCAGTTTCTGCACTATATTCCCAATACTACCGGCTGTCAGTAACCAGTTAGCAGTTAAACTTGGCATGTGTACAACAAAGTGTCTCATTTCTTAGAAGTCTTACAGCTATGCAACATTTGTTTTTCCCAGCTTTTAAAACAATCCTTTAAATGCAATTAACTTTTGTCAAAAAAAAATTATAAAGGTATGTATTAATGCCTACTTTGGTGAAATTTATTCCTACTATGCCATTTTTCCCCACTTAGTTTTCCAATTCCATAATGTATTAAAGGTCTGACACCAATTAATAATGAAAGATGACTTATGTAAACAGGCAGACTGTTAAATAAAGCAGGACAAAAGGTAAATCACCTGAATTTTTATCACATTAATTCAGCAAATGAGCTTCCAATTTACCCAATCAGCCAGCTCTACTACTGCAAATTTAAACTTACTGACAGGTTTTATTTTATCCTTCCAATTAACATCAGATCTTCCCAATCATTGCCCATGTATTTCCAAAGCAACAATTTCTAGGTTTTTCAAGACTGCCAGATGTACTCACTTGCAACAAGGAATAGGGGTTAGAGTGAAAAAATAACTAAAAAATTTAAAACAACTAAGTGTTGGTTTTCAAAGTGTACGATGGTGTTCATCTCAATTACATTAAAATATACTGTAAATACTGTAAAAGATTCTCCTCTTTCAGAGTTTTCCATTTTTCAGAAGGGTTTAATAAAGCATTGGTAAAAGCCCACCCTAGAAGACACTTCGGTCTATACTGAATTATGTCAAACCAGAAAGTCTTTTGTACAGCCACTCAGCTCCCACAGCAGGCCTTTTATCCGTTGTAAGTTAACCACTAAAGGAATTCCCTACACTGTAGTTACTATTAGAAGGCTACACTCCTCTGGTCTGTTTGCAGATTTGCAGAATTAAATCAGGAAAAAAAAAAAAATATTTTAAGATAGGATCTTACATCACAAGTTTTCTAGAGTTCCGGGTCTTCAGTAGGAGAGCCAAGGCAACAAAGACTGGATGTGTATTGCTACTTCACTGGAGGACAGCAGGGTAATGCACCACAAGGGCATCTCATAAATCATAGTAATTGGCATGTAGCTTGAAGGAGAATGCAAACCAGCGTACAGTACCAGCCAACATCCCTAGTGATCCAGGTCACAGAAGGTTACGAAGCCAAGTCAAGGGCTGCAAATGTATCCAGCTGAGAGAAGCATTTTACACAGGTAGTCTTAAATAGCAAACTGAGAGGAAAAACTGGAAGTTCAAGGGGACAGATCTCCCAGAACAACAAGTGCAGTTGTTGGACAGTACTCAAGTATTCACGTGCTGTCAGGCTGATGGCATTCCAAGCAATCAGAATTCACATTAAATCTATACCCTTGTTGCACATGAAAGCTTTTTAAAATTTCAAATTAGCTGCTGTCACACATAGCATATTCATAAATTAGGATAGCTTTTGTCAGTTAAAATAGTGCGGTCCCTTTTTTCCTTTTGTTTTTGTTTGTGGCTTTTCCTTACAAAAAAAAACAACAAAAAAACAAGAAAAGGAAAAATGCAGTAAATATTAAACCTAATCCCCAAAGAAAAACAACAGCTAAAGAGAAAGAAAGTAAAGGGACGTCAGCTGCATTCCTACACTACCATTAATTTTGCTCCCATTTTGGTACACTACTACAAAGCTTCACAATTTAATCTTGACATAACTAGATTACCCAGATAGGATGTGACATTAAAATTGAACCCGGGCAGACATATCTTAGATATACTTTACCCTTCACCAGTAAAAACTGCTGTACTAATAATACACTATTCACTCAAAGCAGGTTATATTTTTTAAATTAAAACTTTACCAGAGTCTTAACTAAGGGTTCAATTTTAACAAGTCTCTTAACAAAAAACAAACAAACAAACAAACAACAAAAAAAAACAACAACAAACAAACCCACAAACAAATGACACAGCAAAACAGAGCATCTGGCTCCTGAATTTTAAGGAAACTAGTTTGTCTAATGATGAATTTTAAATAGTTCCAGCCTACTTTCATGCACAGATTTTGCTTTTAGTTAATTGTTCATCTCTGAAAGTTAGAGTACAGGGATAGAGTGCACACACACAGGTGTCAGCTGCTGGCATGACAACTGGCTCAAATTCAAGAACTGCTACATACCAAAACATCTGATTATCTACAGAGATGGCATTGCTTTCCAACAAGAAAGCAAGTTTTGAGAATGAAAATTGTTTTCTTGGAAGTTGAGTAAAGCCTTGAACTTGGGGGGGGGGGGGGGGTGAAATACGAGCACTGACCTTAAACAACGAAAAATTTTGTTATGTAAACACAATATAAAACTATTCCGTAGAGGATTCCTTGTTTTAAAAACTGTGATGGGAAGTGATTCACAATTCATTTTCTCCTTAAAGCCTAAAATTCTAGAGCAGTATTGACACTGTCCTATTACAATTATCCTACTCTTAATAATTAAAGACAGCATAAGGTTTTATTTTTCTACCTTGAAATCACTCTAAAATATTTACTTTCTCTGCAAATCCAGATTAGGTATTTTTAGAAAGACTGAAAAAGGCAGGAACCAGTTTACAGTCTTCCACATTTAGTAATCTAGTCTTGAAAGCAAGCTTTTTTTCCCTCCCCCTTTTTTCAGGGGTTCCAGAGAAATGATTCAAGGTCAAAGATAGTACATCAGAGCACACAAACTGAAAATAGCTTGAGCATTCCCATAATTAATGCATTGCATTCCAAATCTAACAAGGAAACTAGAACGCATTCAGATGTCTCCCTTTCAGGAAGAAATATTTCAAAATTAGTTTCCTTTTTTCTGTTCCAGAACTTGGAAACATTCATTGGTAGTTATTTCTTAAAGCGAGCTGAAACTGGAATCAATGAAGATGCTTTTGCAAGACTCTACTAGTCTTGGAACTAAGTCAAAATAAGTCCATCAAAAAGTCAGACATCATTTGTTTACCCCCCTAGCATAATATTGTATTAACAAATTCTGGATTTCTTGCTTTAGTCATACATTCCTAACCAAACCCCAACATCAGGCTGACTGTGGAAGAAACCATGCTTGTTCCTTCAGCATGTCACCAGATCAACTTCTCCTTAGGCAGAGTTTAATACAACCTTTCACCCTTGAAAAGAGATCACTACATGTACCAGAACAATTTGGTATCACAGGACACCAAGAAGTTAATGGAAAACACAGTGCCTACAACTAGGGAGACTTCATTTTGCCACACCACTTTACTTGCGTTATTATTTTTTATAACTATATCCATGTGTCCTACAGGTGTTGTCAACAACAGAAACATACTGCATGGATCAGCAAAGATCATCATGTCTGCTAAAAGGTGCATTTCAACTCATGGCATACAAGCATTTGTGCCAACTTTGCTAATAAAATACTTGGTGTGGTTTTATCAACAGAAAGGTGTTTCACATACTGTTGGCACTCAACCCAACTTAACCCTGAACGAAGATAAATTAAATTTCTTTTGCTTGCTCTCCTATTTCATATTCTTTTGAGTAAAGAGGACTAAAAAGAACAAAAATTATTAACTGGAATCATCATTAATTAAAAGTATCTGAAATTCACTGACTACAATCACATTCCACCAGAATTACATGCAGCAATTACCAACATGGTCTTGCAAAGCTTTCTCTTCTTCCTCATGAAAATATGGCTTCTGCTGGTTTTGAAAGTAATCACCAACTTTCAGCTCTTATTTAAGGCAAAGAAAGGAAAAGTGGGGGGATAATCAGCTGTAAAAATAGATGATAAAAGAATCTCTGAGTCAGAAGGTAAATACTTCTCTTTAAAAGAAAATCAGAAAAAAAAAAAAAATCACAAGTCTTTAACTTCATTTACAAATCAAGTCATGTCCAGGGAGCTCCAAGCATTATGCTACACTTGAGAAACTACACTTTTTCTCTAAAAAGTACTCTGGTTACATCCCCTGACCACCTATCACTTAGGAGCTTTAGAAAAACAGATCTGCAACTGCATGCTGATGATGCTGTTTAACTGAGCCATCTCCCACAGACAAGGCAGGTTTCTAGCTCACAATATCAATATTACATTCTAGAGCTGTGGTAAGTGCCAGCCTATCCTCTACACCGTTTTCCTTCCCTAGGAATCTCTTCCCTCCAACTCACTGCCTTGACATTCATACCTAAGAGGCATGACTACCATGATTATAAAGCCTCATGCTGCCATGGAAAGGACTGTAATGCTTTGAAGGAAGACCTGTGTGAGCAAGCAGGGTCTAGGAAGCAAAGAATACCCAACCTCAAATTACGGACAGACAAGGATACTATAGGAGTACTTCTGTGACATATTAAAAACACTTCAAGTACTTCTGATGTGGATGCAGCTACATCAGTAAAGCTGAGCTTTGCAGTACTACATACAGCAAAGGTAGTCTCTGTCTTCCCCCAAGTAAGAAGGGTCACACCAGCAGAGGCACAGGGCTTTTTTCTTCTCCTAGAATAGCTGCATTAAGGGCTCCCGCCAGGTCAAATGTGCTACTGAGGGATCACACCTCTTCCTAACCTTGACAGCCACAGCTGTGACGACAATACAGTACTGTATACTAATTCAGGACTAACCTCAGAAACCAAACATACACTTCACCATCTAAAAGCGTCTGCTATTTCCTGGCATCTTCACAAATTTGGCCAAATGAAACACAGCCAATTTCTAGTTTTCCTCCCAGATTGTTGTATTTACTCACAAAGTGCTTTCATGTTTAGACTGTAATTTTTACTAAAAATACTTGGTTTGAAATAAATGAAAAACATGTATGGTATAAAAGCTCTGGTTTATGCCATTGAAAAGGGCTGCTTTAGGAGACTGAATTATGTTTGGTTTTGGTTTTTTTTCAATTAACTACAAAAGAAAGTACTTCATATCTAATTGCAATATATCAAAAACTATAAAAACATCAATAAATTAGATGCAAACGAAAATCTGAAGCCAAATTCTTTGGAGAAAATAGTATTTCAAAATTAAGCGATGCTAATTATTAGGCTAGGACAATATCATTCAACTTCCAAATAGTCTAGTAGACAACTTTACTACTTGATTACTAAGAACATTGTTTCTGACTATCACTAATGTGTCATCTTCCTTTAATGTAAGATTTTCTTTTCAGCACACACATGAGATGAAGTTGGAGGGGGGGCAGTATCACATGAAGATTTTTTTTAGGCTGTGGACACAAGGTTTTGAAGTTTTCCCGCTTGCAATAAGTGGACATGACGTAATTGCTTGAATGCTTATTTAGGGATAGGCTGGAAAAAAAGAAAAGTTCAGAATGGTTCCATTTAACAACCACTGAACTGAAATTTGTGCTTTTCCCTCAGAAATCAAATCCTGTATTCCCTCTTCATAGTTAATACTTAAGAGTTACAAGTAAAGCTGTTAGAACTGATATGTAATAAAATGTACTTTGTCCAATAACTGCACTTTTCCATAGTACAATAGTAAACATTTACAGAGTTTCCATTACTCATACTGCAAAGCACATGAGTTCACATTTACATGGTCTTTAAACATGCACTTACATAAACTCAACATTACATTTTCCTCAATGCTACATATTCAGACATATTATATGGAACCAATTCCATTCTCTGTTCAATATAATTCACGGCAGGTGAACTGGCTTTAACAGTTGCACCTTTCCGCTGCACAAGGAGTACACTGCCAGCAAGAGAGGGCCCTAATGATACAGCTACCTTCCCAAATTACACAAGAACTTTCCTACAGCAGGACCCAGCCTCTCAAGTGCTCCATGCCTCCCTCACCAGGCAAACCAAAGCCTTCGGTCAGAACAACTGACAAGTTTCATGAGGCTCCCATAAGGCGGGGGGGGGGGGGAAGATGTGGAGACATCAAAGCCGATGTATTTTCAGCAGTAGGTATAGCTTTTGTTCAGAATGTGCTTAAGGGCTCCAGGAGCAGCAGTCAATACTTCAGTTGTATTTATGCATATTTTCTTCCTTCACACTGACCCTTGCCAACATTTCAGAGTGCCCACCCTCTCTTTTGAAGCCATACAAAAAGTTACTTTTTTCCTTTCACAACTACTCACAGAGGCCTATTCCACCACTGAAAGCAAGCAAGGCAAAGCCCACGCTGGGTGTCTGTCTCCTAGAGAAGATTGCATCTTTTATTTATCGCCCCTTGGCTTTATTTTCACAGTGAATTCCTGGCTTAAACGCAATCAGCCAAGAAACCCTCCCTATGTGCACTCCTGTCATTCCTCATCGCTTGCAAAAAACAGAACCAAGTGCAAGCTAAAGGCAAAGGAAAAAAAAAATAAAAATCTCAGCACTGCCAGCCCAACTAAAAAAGCCCTACTTCTGGTTTTGCCAGTCCTGAGGAACCAGAGGTGCGCCTCAGACCTTTGGAAAGAGAAAGCCAAAAGATGAAACTTAAGAAAGTTAATTAGATTAAAAAAAAAAAAAAAAGTCCCCGTAGGCAGAAGGGAAGGGCACGGAGCCTGGGAGCAGGGACACGGCTGCCCTTCAGGAAAAACTGATGGCACGTTTGCGAGCTGCCCGACAAGTACAAGCCGCAGCGGGCAGGACAGAGGGTTTGGGGAAAACAGAGCGGGGGATCCCGACGTCCCCCATAAACACACACACACACCGTGCCGCCGCCGCCAACAAAAGGCGAGCAGCAAGCCTCTTTTGTCTGGCTTCCCCTTTTCGGGGGAGGAGGAGGGGAAGCGACAGAAATCGGGGGGGGGGGGGGGGGGGGGGGGGGGGGGGGGGACACAAATAAACATCAAAATGAGAACAAAGTGCCCGGGTAGCACAAAGAGCATCACCCACCGGCGGGGGGAAGCTGTGGGCCGGGGTGGCTCCCGGATGGGAACTGAGGGGACTCGCCCGGCAGACAGGCCCCCAAAAGTGGAGGGCACCCACCTCTGCAGCCTTTTAAACACAGGCAGGGAGGAGTTAACCCGGGGCGCCCGCAGCGGGTGAAGAGCAGCGGCAGGCGGTGGGGCTGGGGGGGGGGGGAGGAAAAGAAGGGAAGGATATTGTTCCAGGAGGAGGCAGAGCGGCGCTCCCCCCCCCCCCCCCCCCCCCCCCCCCGGTCAAGAAGCAGTCATTCCCAAAGCAACTCCCCCCCGCCACAGACCCCCAGGCGGGGTGGATCGCGCCCCCTCCCTCCGGCTCGCCGCCGCCGCCGCGGCTGCCCTAGAAATGCCTTTGTTCGCGGATACCCCCCCGCACACCCGCTGCTGGGGTCTCACTCCGCTTTTATGTCTTTATTTTGGACGGTGGCGCATCCCGCCCCCCCCCCCCCCGCCTTCCCCCGCCGGCCGCCCTTCTGCTGATTCATTTCCACCAGCGGTCCCCCCCGGGATGAGGGGGGGTGGCATCTCCTCGCTATTGTGGCTCGGGGTAAAGAGATGACCCGGATTACCGGGGGTGGGCGCTGGAAGAGGGCAGAGCCAAACGAGATTACACGGGCTGGATTACGGGGAGCGGACACGGCGCTCTGATGGGGTGGGGGGGCGAGTTAAAGGGACAGGAGGGGGGCGACCCGCTCGGGGGCCGCGGCCGTGTCACAGAGGGAGGGAGTTACTCGGTGTCCTGGATGCGAGGTGAAGGAGAACTCTCCCCCCTCCCCACAGCACGGTGCGGAGGAAGGTGGCCGAGGAAGGTGGCCGGCCCGCATTACAACCAAAGAGCGAACGGCCAGTACGGGCAGGCAGCAGGGGGCAGCTCCCCGCCCGCGCTGCCGGACCCTCCGCCAGAGTCTGCCGGGGCAGGGGAAAGGTTCCGGCCGCCGGGACCGTGTAAGGCAGGCAGGCGGGAGGCGGCTCCCCGGACGGCAGACGGGTGACACGCAGCGGGAGACCCTCGGCGGGGGAGGCCGGAGGAGCCCTGCCCGGGAGGCGGCGGCCCGGCTCCGGAGCGCGGCCCCGGCCGGTGACTCACCGACTTGCAGGACGTTATCGACGCAGCCGCCGTCAAGCAGAGCGATGCCCCTGCGGAAGGGCAGGCGGTTCTCGTCGGCGGCGGCAGCAGCGGGG